TGCCTCGTTTCTTAAAACCCGCGCCCCGCTGGGGGGGGGGGGGGCAGAATCTGCCCCCTCCCGTTTTTCGCCAATAACTTCTAAACGCGTTACGCCAGCGACGTCAAACTTTCAGTACCTTATCATACATCAATTTGACACGTTCCCTGAAAATTTGAGCGAAATACGTCGATTTTTTTTTGAGAAATTGACGTTTTAGTGACGTCATGTTCGCCATTTTTGCCTCAAAAACGGCAACATTTCAAACGCCGCTAACATCTTCATTTTTGAAGAAATCAAGACGTAACAAAAAAGGTTATACGTGAATCTACTTCGTCTATCAAATGGTTATCTCGGTTTTTTGAAAATTTTTGGCCCTTTTTTTCTTTGAGCCATTTTTGGCCCAAAGAAAAAATTTTTGGCCTTTTTTTTCTAAAAAACTGACTTTTTGGGAAAATAATTATAAAATCCAAAATTCTGAGTGTATCGAAAAAACCGGATTGTATGTCAGAGAAATGGTCTATGTGCACCTACATACCAATTTTTAGAAGAATCGGCTCAAAAATGTGGGAGTTATTCAAATTTTATGACGACACGACACACAAAATTTTGAAAAATGATTTTTTTTTGAAGTTCTAGACCTCGTACGGAAACAAAAATAGCACCATTCGATATGCCGTGAAAAACTGCATCAGATAGACACCTTTTTAGGCCTTAACAACAAACTTCAAAATTTGACCTCACTTGACCTGACCTTGACCTGACCTCGACCTGAAATTCATCCAGAGGTGGTCCATATCACTTATTGAGTGTGCCTATTGAATTCTATGAGTAAAATGACCCATAAAACATGTGTCACACATGCTCTTTTCTATATTTTGTTTTTGGCGACCTGACCTGACCTGACCTGACCTTGACCTTGACCTTTGAATGACATTGTATGCAACGAATATTGTCTTGGTAGTCTAAGAACACGTTTTGGACAATCAGTCTCAGTCCATTCTTCGGCAACTACGGTGCAAAACCGATATTGTAGAACTTACTTAGGTACTTACTCCTCGGCGACAGCTTCGTCGACCGAATGGGAGCCGAAGATCCGCCTCCATGCCGTCTCCGCTCCTCCCAACGTGCAGATGTTGGCCAGGATTCGTCGAGACACCGTCCCGCACGCGAGCTGGCACGCCATCCTCCCACGGGGGCCGCAGAGGCCCGATCTCGCGATCCAGCCCGGCCTCAGACCGACACGGGCCATCCTCCCGACTTCCGCTTCTCCTGGATTTGGCTTCCTGGCATCGTCAGTTTCCATCTTGAATTTGAGTGGTTGCTGGAAGTCGGAAGCCGAGAGGACGATCCTGCTGGTAGCGGGCGCGCCATTGCCCGCCAGCCGGTCTGCCTTCTCGTTGACCTCCACGCCAGCGTGGCCGGGGCAGTAGAGCCAGGTGATGCGCCTGTCTGTCCACCATTCAGGGGGCGACACGCCGCCCTCCAATTTCCGCAAGAGAGACTGTGAGTCAGTGGCGACGACAATGTGCTGACAGTCGGGTAGGAGCTGATTCAGGGCGTTCAGTCCAACAGTGACGGCCTCCGTCTCAGCCCGCATGCTCGAGAGCACGAGCCGCGTAGCTCCCGATACGCTTTGGGTGAGTTCAGCCGAGCGGATGAAGCAGCCCCAGCCGCTCCGGGGAATAGATACTGTAGATAGATACTCCGGGGGGGGGGATACTGTAGAAGCTTGCATTTTGTACCCTTGACCTGACCTTGACCTGACCTCTGACCTACTTAAGCAAAAAAAAATTGGGCTCTTAAGATCCGCCTTGTTGAGAGCTTCCGATTGCCGTTTTCCCCGTCTTTCTACGACCATCGGTTCGGAAGTTAGACAGGGGGGGGGGCAGAATCTACCCCCCCCCCCCCAGCAGGGCGCGTATGGCTGAATAGCCCAGCGGGGCGCGGGTTAACCATTAGTTAGCTTAGACGATGACTGAACGTGCAATGAAAAGTTGATATTTTAGTGCACGCCGTATCGCTGCATACATACTGAAAAATGTGCGCAATAAAGGGCTCTTGCTGTGCGTTGTTAGGAAGCCTGTTCCCAATAACGCACAAATGCAGTTCTTAACCCGCGAGTTGCTGGGGGGGAGGCGTTAAACGCCCCCACTTTTTTCGCCGGGCAATAGCATAAAAACGGCGCGCCGCAGACCCGCCAAATTTTGGGTACCTGTAGGGAATTAATTGAAGTTTATCCTGACAAAGTTTCAAAAAAATCGGTCGGAAAGTATTTGAGATATCGAGGTTTTCGTGACGTCACGATTTCTGAATTTTCGACCAAAAACGGCATATGTTCAAAAAATCATATAAAATCACAAAATAGACATACAGACATGCCGTAAACGCCATTAGACTGCCAATACCATGAACAATCAAATGGCTATCTTCGATTATTGATTATCGTTCCGCATTTTCCAAAATCTTGAGCTGAACCTAAGCAATTTCTCGTGACTAGGTACCTACTTCACGACCATGATACATGCATTTCTTAAATTGAACTTTTTGAGCCAAACACGTACACATATGATAAAATAAATGTCACCATCGTGTTTTACGCCCCAAATTACCCATAAAACATGTGTCACAGGCTGCAAATATCAGTTTTGATTTTCGGGAATATGTGCCTACCTACCCGGTTGACCTGACCTTGACCCTGACCTATGCTTGACTGACCCCTACATGGAGCTGACACTCTTGTATGCCTTATATGATGGATTGTGCACCGTTTTGACAGAGTTTATGACGAGAGGCGCCCATTGCGAAGTCCTGAAATGCTACTGTCCTCTGCTACTGCTACTACTGAAAAGTCCTGTCCATGTTACTGAAAGCCCGATTTCAGGTGTTTGACCTGACCTTGACCCAACCTGTGACCTCAAAATTCAACTTTTAAGTACTCATCTGAAGCGTCTCGTCGCGTTCTTTCGTTTGCCGCCCCGTGCGTGTCGCTGCGCCTATTGGTTCTCGAGTTATCGGCTGGGGGCGTTTAACGCCCCCCCCCCCCCCCAGCAAACGGTGGGTGGCGAAATACCCCAGCAACTGCCGGGTTAAAACAGTCGTCATAGCCATACTGTAATCCCATCATAGTTCCGTCTCTGGGTTTATAGAGACAATTGATTGTCCAACATACTGGCGTGATTACATCCCTATCGGCGCACCCATTTGGCAGTAATTGCGATTCATGGAGCCTTACGTGTGCGTAATTGGGTCACTCTCCCCTATATGTTAACCTCGAAAGGTCAAGCTCAAAAGTTACGTGACCTCAAGGTCATCATGTATACCATTCGATGCGCCTTGACGAGCTGAACACGATGACACCAGCGGCTCCGCGTGGCTGTATCTTGTTCCTGTAAGGAGTTATTAACCTTACAGTTGCCCAAGAGCAAAAAAGGTCTCAAGGTAAACAAGGTTGATCGCATATAAAGTCATTCATGGTATATTGGGCCATTCAAACGCGTTTTAGTGAGAAAAACAGGGGGTTGATTTTTTCCCATTGACTTATAATGGGCGTAGGTACTGTACCCGACCGATGGCGATATCAAAATTCCGAGCTAAACAAATTGTAGCCATCCTCATTACATCCTATACGACTTCCAAAGGCCTCCGTCATCTAGGTACTGTAGCTGGCACGGTGACAAAGTTGCAAAAAAGTGATATCAGGTTGTGTCATTCGAAGTGACCTGATGACCGAAGTGACGAAGTTGCCCGAAAGGTTTTTCCGCTATTCATGAAAAACATCAGGGGGGGGGGGGGTAACCGGCCCCCCATCGGTGCGCAAGTTAATAGCAACGCTTGTTGGATAAATGGCTTTGAGTAGGTATACCTAAGGTATGTAAGCATGATTTTATATTTGGACCTCTTTAATGAAAGTACAAGTAAATATAGGGGAGAGTGGGGTAAGATGCCCAGGGTGGGAAAGACGCCCCACCCCCTCTAGCGGCGAAACAAAGAATCGGACCTGGAAATTAATGATCTTAGCGTAAAGCGGAAGCCTGCCTTGTTAACTGCACAAAAATTGCGAAGCTCAGTTGGGCAACGGCTGGCTGATGATTGCATGTTTTTTATTTGCTGCTTTCAAAAAATATTTTGGTGTCAGAACATTGTAAATATCAAAGGAGGTAAATAATTTTTGCGTACCTTGCTATAGTCGTGATACATTAGCATGCGTGTACTGTGTCCCAAACAGTTTGTTTCAGGGTGTAGTTTTATGGCTAACAAATTGTACTGATTTAATGTTACTTCGGTACCTTGGGGTAAGATGCCCCCTGTCCTGATGGGGAAAGACGCCCCCCTAAATCCGTAGGCTGTCCTTCAAACAGCCCGTCTGTTGTATATTTATGTTGTTGCATGTGCAGGCTGTGGCATGGTGTTGCATGTGCTTTGCATGGTTTATGAGCCTAATGCTTGGTTCCCTGTTTTCCAGCAATGTTGTGAATAAAAGCCTTCATTGAGGCTCATCGTTCATTACAATTTTATTCACAACATAACCTGCATGCTGCATGACTCTGGCAAATCAAGATGGACAAGTATCTCAAGCCCCCAGAACTCAACATTGATCCCAAATCGCCATCTGCTGAAGATGAGTGGGATATGTGGATTACAAAGTTTGGGGATTTCTTCAACTCCATCGATCCGGCCCTAAATCCCAACAAGCTCACGCTTCTTCGGGCTCACATGTCATGTGCGTGCTATAAGCTGATCAAGGCGGCCACTACCTTTGATGAGGCTGTCGAGATGCTGGAAGCAAGGTTCGTGAAACCCCACAGTGAGGTCTATGCTCGCCACAGGCTCGCTTCTCGGCGACAGCAGGCTGGGGAATCACTTGACACTTATCTCGAGGAACTGGGGCTCCTGGCATCTCAATGCAAGTTTGAAGCAGCTACAGCTGAAAAAGTAAAGGAGGATGCCATACGTGATGCCTTCATCAATGGCCTGTCATCCAGTGCTATTCGACAGTGTAACGTTCTTAAGATATCAGATAACGTAAGACGATGATATGTATTCAGTAATGTCAGATATTATACAGCACTGACCAACCCTAGCTCGGGTGTCTAACTCTACAACCCTCCGGCTGCCGCGCCCTCACTTGCCGTCAACCACGAGTTCGCTTTTCTGCCGTTAGATGACAGCACGTCTCAGGACACTACAAATTACAATACGCCACATCCCTTCTCCTGCGACAATGAGATATCGAGATCACGGACATGCTGGTGTCCGTACACGAACACACATGTGCAATGCACCACATCAAATGCTACGCAAAGCTACTGTGCGACGAAGCTATAACGCGGCACTGAAGGACTGAGCACTGTAACACTACTGGTAATCGCAAAACAGTATAAAGCGCGACAAAATATTTACATTGCATACCTCTCATGACGCTTGGTCATTCTACCGTCTGCTGATAAGTATGCAGCCACATCCAGCATGCATTGACACGAACTGACAAGAACAGTGAACACGAACTGAACTGACGCGAACAGTGATTCATCTAACGTAATCGGACAGATAGGCGGGCGGGCGCCTTTCGCGCTGGGGACGGCGACTTATGACCGGCGGTGAGCCTGCCCCGGTCAGTGGTGCGTAAGGCGCATGGACGGGGGACGGCGGGAGCGGAGGAGATGACGGCACATCCATCCACGGTTCGCCAGGACGGGCAGGAGGCACGGGCGGGACGACGAGCGGGCGCACGCCCGTGCCGGTGGCGACGGGAGGAGTCTGAGGCGGCTCTGGTAACGCGGTGGGTTCCCGTGGCGGACCGAGCAGGTCTGGGTCCGAGTGATCACTCTGTACAGGCAGAGGGTCATTGGTGGCTAACAACTGGCGGCGGTTGCGACGATAGGTCACTTCATTCACGCGCGCCCAGTAAGATCGCGGCCCAGCTATTCCTGTACAGACGCCAGGGGTCCATGTGCGCTGTCCAGGGAGGCGCATCCGAATGGGCTGACCCACGACCAGAGGGGTCAGGGGCTGTGTCCGACGATTGTAATATTTCGCCTGGCGCAGTTTATTGTCAGCGAGAACACTCGGGAGAGGAGTCGGGTACGCGGGAAGCAAGTTTGACCTGGGAGTAGGCAAAAACGTCCGACAGGCACGTCCAAACATTTTCTGTGCCGGCGACATGTCTGACCCTTCACTGGGCGAATTACGCCACGTCATCAGCGCCCAAAGGAAGTTTTCACCGGAGGCGATAGCCTTACGCATTAAACTCTTCGCCGTTTTCACGGCGTTCTCAGCCTTGCCATTCGACTGCGGATAGCCTGGGCTGGAGGTAACATGATCAATATCCAGCGAACGCAGAAATGCTTTGAACTCACAGCTGCTGAACGGTGGGCCATTATCACTAACCAGCGTTTCTGGAATGCCATAGCGAGCAAACTGGGCCGCTAGAGCTGAGGTCACATGTGTCACAGTAGTCCGAGTCAGGCGGTCAATCTCCATGAAGTTGGAGTAATAATCTACCAGCACGAGGTACATTGACCCATTAAGTTCAAAAATGTCCGTTCCCAGTTTCGCCCATGGCCGGGAGGGGACCTCATGCGACAATAGCGGCTCGGCCGTCTGAGCCGGGCGATGGGCTAGGCAGGTTGGGCACTTCAGAATCGCTTCTTTTAGCTGGCTGGTCATTCCGATCCAAAACACGTTCTGCCGAGCAAGTCGCAGTATCGATGACAAACCAATATGAGTACGGTGCAGGCGCGAGATAAGGTCGTGCTGAAGAGCGCTGGGAATGACCACACACCTGCCTTTGTACAGCAGTCCGTCCTGTGTGAAAAGTTCGTCATGAAAGCCATGATACGGCCGGAGTGCGTCTGGCAACTGGCGCCGATGCTTCGGCCACCCTGCCAGTACCTGTTTGACGACCCGTGGGAGGACCAGATCCGACTGATACGCGGCCCGTATGGCTTCTAGACGCTCTGGAGACACCGCGATCCCACTGGACAACTCTAGGGATTCGGTCTCCATTGCGAACAGTGAGGATGGTTGCTGAGTTGGAGCACGACTAAGCGCATCAGCAACAGGAATCTCTGATCCTGGTCGGTACACAATGTGAAAGTTGTACCTCTGCAGTGTGAGAAGCATTCTCTGCAAGCGAAGTGGTGCGTCACTGAGTGGTTTGTTGTGTATCGCGACCAATGGCTTATGGTCAGTCTCGACTGTCACTGGCCTACCGTACAGATATTGGTCCAGGCGAGTGAGCGCAAAAGTAATGGCCAATAGCTCCTTCTCAATTTGCGAGTAGGCTCGCTCCGCTACCGTAAGGGAGCGCGAGCAGTACATGACTGGGTTTCCCCGCTGCAGAAGGACAGCGCCGAGGCCATGGCTCGATGCATCGCACTGCACTGTAGCCTCGTCATGTGGGTCATAGTATTTGAGCACTGGCGCTGTTGTAAGCAGCTGCTGAATGGTTTTGAATGCTGTCTCACACTGGGGGCTCCAGTACCAGTCGAAGCTGGCCTGAGTGAGCTGACGGAGAGGTGATACAGTCTGTGACAGGTTGGGGATGTAGCGGGCCAAAAAACTGACCATCCCCAGGAAGCGTTTGAGACTGGGCACATCCGTGGGGGGCGGATAGTCACGCACCGCAGACACTTTAGCTGGGTCTGGTTTCAAGCCGTCAGCCGACAGGACGTGACCCATCCATTTCAGTTCTGTCACTTTGTACCTGAATTTATCCGGGTTCAGACGAAGGTTCCTCTCACGTGCCCTGGCTAGAAATGCCGCTAGATTGCGGTCATGATCCTGTTCGGCCTGCGCACGCGTGTTGCCGCGACCTAAAACTACAAAATCATCAGCTATGACCTCCACACCCTCAAGACCCCTGATGAGCTCATGCATCATTCTCTGCCAAATTTCGGAGCTGCACTTCACGCCATATGGCAGCCTGTTCCAGATATAGCGTCCAAATGGCGTGTGGAAGCAGCACAGGCGCGCCGACCTAGCTGATAGCCCAATCTGCCAAAATGCACAGGATGCATCCACGAGACTGAATACTTTGGCTCCCGTGAGCCGGGCGGTTACCTCGTCCACAGTGGGTGTGGGATAGTGTTCTCTCCTCACAGCTCGATTTAGGAAACGGGGGTCTATGCATAGGCGAATATCCCCGTTCGGTTTATCCACTATCACAGGATTTGAGACCCAGTCAGTTGGCTCAGTGATGTGAGAAATGACGCCTAGAGTCTCGAGATCGTCCAGTTTTTTCTTAAGTTTCTCACGCACGTGCACTCTCACTCTGCGGGGAGCTTCCACTACCGGGATAGCGGACGGATCTGTCACAATTTCATAGTTGTCCGCCACTAGTCCCACGCTACTTTTGTCAAACACGTCATGATACTCAGCTTTGATGCGCGACTGACCGTCACTCACACACCCCGACCGCGGTGGCCCGGGCGACGGACGAGCTCCGGGAGGGCCATGACCCGGTTCGGTAGCGAGGTCACCCCCTGGGGTCACGGCCGGCGGGGGCGGGGCAGGGACATAGTCCAGTGGGTCACAGTCGCGGACGTCAATCAGGCCCAGCTGGACTGACGTGTTCAGGCTTAGTATGGAAGAGATAGCACTGTTCACAACTTTACACTGAAGGATGTGCCTACTCCGAGACACGGGATTAGTAAAGCACAGGGACCGTTTCCCCTCACATGACACGAGAGCGCCGTCATACATGCGCAGAACGGTATGGCACGGTCTCAAACATGCGCCCTGTGGATCGTCGGTGATACGCACGTAGTCTGTCCATGTCAACACGTCACACTCGGAGCCGGAATCTATCAGAAACGTCACCGATTTTCCCGAGGCGGTCAAAGTTTTGTGTGCTTTTGTGGGTGTCTCACCGGAATGGCCAGCTGTCGACAAAACGTCCCAGTGCTCATGTTGATGTGCACCTGACGCGCCGGGAGGCGGGTCGCGGCGCTGGCCGGCTGGCGGAGTCGCAGTCAGCTGATCGCGGCCGGCGGCGGCGGCGCCGGCGGCGCCCACGGTGGCGGCGAGAGACAGCGGCCGGGCCGCTGGCTGGCGAACTGGTCCGCGCCCGCCAGAGCCGGGCGGGGGACGCCGGGAGCCGCAGATAGTACTGCATGCGAAATGGTTGGCCTGCCCGCAGGCGAGGCAGGCTTTGCCCCATGCAGGGCAGCGAGACCGAACCATTGGGTGATCACGGCCGCAGAACTTGCACTTGCGGGTCGGTTGGGACCGGTTGTGTCCAGAGACGGCGGCCAAGTTGTCTGTTTGCTCACTGTGGGACTCAGTTCCAAACACCTTGAGATCACGATTGGCGGCTTCTTCGGATAGCGCTATGTCGATTGCCATCTGAAGGGTCAAATCAGCTCGCTTCAGCAGCGCTGCTTGTATTTTCTGGTCACGGAGGCCGATGCATATTCTGTCTCTTATCATGTTGTCCCCGTCTGGGAAATCACACGTTGCTGCCAGAGATCGAAGGGCCGATAGATATTGGCTGACCGACTCGTCTGGCTTCTGACCGCGAGTGTAGAAATTGTACCGTTCACGGACAACATTCTGGCGGGGCACACAGAACGCCTCGAAGCGTGACACTAGCTCATCCAACCCTTGTTCTGCAGACCACCCAGAGAAATGAGAGGCGACTTCTTGTGCTTCACCACCTGCACAGTTGAGAAAAAACGGCCACTTGGACGGCCTGGGGCTTGCCAGCGAGTTCGACAGCCACAGCGTAATTCTCCCATTCACGCCGCCAGGTCCGCCATCTTGTTGCTAATTGCGGTGATGAAATCTCGAGCTCTGCCGGTGGGCGAAGATTCGACAGCATCGTGGGCACCTTTGTGTTACGTTAACTTCTGACACCATGTAACGTTCTTAAGATATCAGATAACGTAAGACGATGATATGTATTCAGTAATGTCAGATATTATACAGCACTGACCAACCCTAGCTCGGGTGTCTAACTCTACAACCCTCCGGCTGCCGCGCCCTCACTTGCCGTCAACCACGAGTTCGCTTTTCTGCCGTTAGATGACAGCACGTCTCAGGACACTACAAATTACAATACGCCACAGACAGCGTCTTCTGGAGAACCTTCAGCTTGATCTGAAAACAGCTGTTTCTCAGGCTCGTGCTCTGGAGATGGCCCAGCAGCAATCTGAAATGTATCATAGAAACAGCAGTGATTCGTCACCAGTGACAGTGACAGCCCATGCTCAGTCTGATCCTTCTTCTGCGGAGGAGACAGTGCCATCCGCTCGAGGAGGAGAGGAAGTGACTGCAGCAGTTGAACGTACCTGCTTCTTCTGTGGTGGTCCACATCATGCTCGAAACAAGTGTCGTGCACGCAATGCTACCTGTTCAAGCTGTGGTAGGCAGGGGCATTTTGCCTCAGTCTGCCAGATGGGGAGATGGTCCAGAAGAGCACAACCGACCAAGGACCGGAGACAAACCACAGCTTCTATGCCGATACTGTCAGCAATGCATGAAACCTCTCTTCCGAGTCTACGGTCTGCTATGACACGTGTCACAATCAATGGTCAAGAGTTCGAAGCGCTGATCGACACTGGTAGCTCTCAGAGTTTCATCCGTACCCGGGTCGCAGAGGACGTTCACCTGAACATCGAACCCGCACATGGTACTGTGTGCATGGCCTCCACACGGCATCATGTCAAGGTGGCGGGGCAGTGTAGGGTGAGACTACGGGTTCAAGATGAATCATATGATGACTACCTGTTCTCTGTTATGGACGATCTGTGTGCACCTGTGCTACTCGGTCATGACTTTCTCAAGGCACACGAAAGCGTGTCCCTGACGTTCGGTGGCTCTCGATCCTCGCTCAGCCTGTGCTGTCTGACTCCCGCAGTGGTAACGCCACCATCCTTGTTCGGTAACTTGACGGAGGACTGTCACCCTATCCAGGCCAAGTCACGCCGCTACAGCGCTTCCGAAGTGAAGTTCATCGAGGGTGAGGTCGATCGTCTCCTAAAGGAAGGCATCATCTCTCCCAGCACCAGCCCATGGCGTGCTCAAGTTCTTGTGGTTGCATCTCCTAGCGGGAAACGTCGGATGGTTGTGGACTACGCCCAGACCATCAATCGCTTCACGGAGCTGAATGCTTACCCGCTGCCAAGAATCAACGAACAGGTTGAAAAGATCGCTCAATACTCCTACTTCAGCACGATAGACCTGACCAGTGCCTATCACCAGATCCCCATCGATCCTGAAGATCGCAAGTACACAGCTTTCGAAGCTGATGGAAGACTCTTCGAATTCCTTCGTATCCCGTTCGGGGTCACTAATGGGGTCGCCTGTTTTCAGCAGATCCTCCACGATGTCATCCGAGCTGAGAACCTGCGCGACACATTTGCATACGTCGACGACGTGACCATCTGTGGTCGCACCAGAGAAGAACATGACAGGAACCTGGAGCGCTTCATCGACGCTGCAAAGAAGTTCTCGCTGACGATCAATCAAGAGAAGAGTCAGTATGGCAAGACATCCGTCAGGATCCTGGGGCATGTGGTGGAGAACCGGACGATTCGACCTGATCCAGACCGACTTCGAGCCTTGATGGAGCTGCCGGTGCCCGAGGACGCGAAGGCACTGAAGCGAGCTGTAGGCATGCTCTCACACTACTCCAAGTGGGTGTCGTCCTTCTCCGAGAAGCTCCGGCCGCTGATCGACGGCGACTGCTTTCCCCTGTCGCCTGACGCGGTCGCGGCGTACCAGCGGTTGAAGGAAGACATCGGTGCTGCTACCATGTCAGCGATTGACGACTACGCTACCTTTGTGGTAGAGACGGACGCGTCTGATAATGCGATCGCAGCCACTCTTACTCAGAACGACAAGCCGGTCGCCTTCTTCTCGCGAACGTTAAACCCATCAGAACGCAAACAGGCATCCGTTGAGAAGGAGGCTGCAGCCATAGTCGAGTCAATTCGAAAGTGGCGGCATCTTCTGATTGGACGCCACTTCAAGCTCATCACAGATCAACGCTCGGTCTCCTTCATGTTCGACCGCGCGAGCAAAGGACGCATCAAGAACGACAAGATACTGCGTTGGCGTCTCGAGCTGGCGTGCATGAGCTTTGAGATCGTGTATCGTCCGGGGAAGTTCAACAACACAGTTCCCGACATGCTATCCAGGGCTGTCTGTGGCGCAACCACCACGGACACTGAAGATCTCATCCGATCTCTCCATGGACAACTCTGCCACCCTGGTGTAACGCGGTTGTGGCACTACCTCCGGTCGCGGAATGTGGCTTGTTCGGTGGATGATGTAAGGCGAGTCGTAACGCAGTGTAGAACCTGTGCACAGCACAAACCACGATTCGTCCATACCTCTAACACGCTTGTCAAGGCGACTAGGGTGTTTGAGCGATTGAGCGTTGACTTCAAGGGTCCCCTGCCATCAAACACTCAAAGAGCGTACATGTTTGTCGTGGTAGATGAATTCTCTCGCTTCCCGTTCGCTTTTCCTACTGCCGATACGTCTGCGGATTCGGCGATACAGTGTATGATGTCTCTGTTCACTATGTTTGGCACACCGGAGTTTGTACATTCCGATCAGGGCACCGCCTTCACGTCTTCTCGATTTAAGCAGTTTCTCCTACAGAACAGCATCGCCCAGAGCTTCTGTTCGGCATACAACGCCCCAGGCAACGGTCAAACCGAGCGTTACAACGGCATCATCTGGAAGTCTGTGTGCATGGCCTGTCACTCTGACAGCATCGACTTGAAAAACTGGGAAACCGTCCTCCCCCGGGCTTTGCACAGCGTTCGTTCGTTGCTATGCACAGCCACGAACCAGACGCCTCATGAACGATTCTTCAAACATCCTCGAAGGTCAATCAATGGTCAAGCTCTCCCTTCTTGGCTGGTGACATCAGACAGGGTACTGCTCCGTCGCTTCAACCGCGCCAGCAAGTACGAGCCTCTGGTGGATGAGGTCGATCTTCTGCACGTTACTCCCACGTACGCCAAGGTCCGACTGCCGAGTGGTCGTGAGCCGACTGTCTCTATCCGTCATCTCTCGCCCATGGGAGGTGAGAGCGCTGGGGAGCACTGCCAGATGGGTGATCATCGATCGAGTGACACAGACGTGCCTCCTATTGACTCGCCCTGTGACCCTGTGTGTCCCGCTGAGCGTGGCGACTCGTCTGATGCTGTGTCCGTCTCTGCACCGGATGTTCATGATGTACCTCCCGAGATCTCGCCTGACTGTCCTGATACCACTGTAACGAATTTGGATCGGCCTCTGCGAAGGTCAACCAGGGTGAAGCAGGTGCCTGTTCGATTAATGGACTATCAGGTGTGTAAGCCGTGACAGGCGAGCGTTTTGACATGGTGTGGCGAGGAGTTTGTCTTTGTGTTAGTGTTGCTGAGCGTAGTTTTGGCACGCTCAGTCTTGAGGGACGGTGAATGTTGTATATTTATGTTGTTGCATGTGCAGGCTGTGGCATGGTGTTGCATGTGCTTTGCATGGTTTATGAGCCTGATGCTTGGTTCCCTGTTTTCCAGCAATGTTGTGAATAAAAGCCTTCATTGAGGTTCATCGTTCATTACACCGTCAAATCATTTATTACATACTTGTGATGTAGACAAAAGCCGATCTGGGACTATTGAGAGTCCAGTACGGTCGGGTGCTCCCCATGCCGGTCTTTCGACCCACATAGCGACTTTTTGGGCGGCATCTGACTCTGAGAGCCCTCACGACGGCCTCTGTGGGCCCCATTATTGGCTCCAGGGCCCCTCACGACATCCTTTGAGGGCTCTGTGAGAAAGTTCGTCCCTCCGATACAGCCATACCGTGGTCACAGCCGGACCCGGCGGACCGCGGCGCCCGGCACATCAACCAATCTGCCGACGGCCGGGGGCGGAATGCAGCGTCGGCCGCGCAAAAACCAACCGCAGGGGAATGCGGCGTCGGTCGCGCAAAAAACCACCGCGGGGAGGATGCGGCGTGGTGAGAACCGCAAGTCGGCACAGGAGCGTGACCAGCAGCAGGTCACCAGACCCGAGCTCCTCCTCCGGCGCAGCGGACCACGCCGGACCTCCTGAGACCGCCCCTGCGACAAAAAGATACCTGGCCAGCCGACTCCCATCGTTCGGCGCCGCGTCTGCCGCCGGAGGGTAACAAAAACCCCCTCCAGACATCGATAAGGGCAGGCCGGCGGCCGGTGAGGTCATTGCCACGGCGAGTCGGTGACCTCTTCTACTGCTGTGCCCTGAGGTTCTGTGGCTGTTCTGTTCTGCTCTGTCCTGTTCTGCCCTGCTATGTTCTGCGCGCTCTGTCCTGCGGGACTAGCCTTGCGTGCCGCGCCCGAGGCAAATGCCATCCGCCGGAGGCGCGGTATATAAGCTGAGTTCCGCAGTGATCCGGGGACTTCTCTTCTTCGCCCTTCGCCCTTCGCTTCTCCACTGGAGAGCTACGTTGGAGCCTGCCCAGCGCGCGACGTTTGTTGAACCAACATGTAAGTTTCAAGGGTGCGGCCCTTGAGCCCTTATGGGGCCTTGTAAATAGTTATGGCTACTGGCCTGTGTTTGTATGTTACCGTCTGTAAATAATTACTTTGAAAAACTTGCACAGTCTGTTGTGGGACAAATGGTGGGAGAGAGAAAGGCGAACTGCAGAACGGTACCGAACTTGACAAACGTACATTAGAGAGACTCGGATAATTAAACAACACTACCTTTAAACTTTAAACGGCACAGTTAATTCGATACGTCACGCTACCAGAACAAATCCCAGCTGAAGTAACGATAAAGCAAATAACTTAACAACTCATAGTAAAAAATAGTTTCACAGTGGTGGCAGCGGTGGGATTCCTAATAGACTGACTGATTTTATTTTAAGCACGCCCAAGGCGAGCTAAATAAATTTATTGTCGGTTCCGCTCCAAACAGGGCGGCGAACCCTTGTGCCTTTTTACTTGCAGTAAATTACTTGTGTTGTAAGTTGTTTTTGCCCTTAAGAATTAAATTTAAGTAATGTAGGTATAGGGCCGTTCATGTTCGCAGTGGTTCTCTCCCCCAGCTGTCCCGGCCAGTGGGACAGGCGGGCGGCTCAGCCACCCCGGGGTGCCAGCGCCGGCTCGCGGCGGACCCGCGGCAGGCCCTGCCCTCCGCCCTGTCTGATTGGTGAAGGGACAGAGGATGGGCGTGGCCAATTTGAGTGTGGGGCTGAGGCACTGAGGGGTGCCACTGAGGACAGTGTATGTCCAGGTGCTCTTGCTGCGTCATCACTGAGGTTTCCCGGGCCCATTCGTGCTTTGTGCTGAAAGCAACGAGTTTTGAGGTGAGCGATGGAATTCGCACTTATCGAAGTCGCGATTGCCCTACCAGTGACCCGGGAGGATTGTTTATGAGGGACCGGCTGCCGTCTCATAATTCAAAGTGTACACGAATTAAAAGCCCATCAACTGAGCGGTAGGCCAAGCGCGGCTTCGGGCCGAACGTAGTGTGGGGTGAAGCGCTGCTCCACGCCTGATTGGGACTGCAGCCCATCAGAGCAAAGTGGGCATAAACAATCGTCCTGTGTGTGTCGATACCCGGCTAGAGATGGGTTAGTTCGGGGGTAGAGGCCGTGTGTCCATGACGCTACTCGTTTTATTTTGGCTTTCAGCACGATGACCGATCCGGAGTCCCGAGAACAACCAGCGGCAGGCACCACCGGGACAAACATGTACTCGGAGCCTGAATATTATTACACCCTCCCACCAGAACGCCCACAGCTGGAAGTTCCTGTGGATTCGACTGGAGCCCCAGGTCAGTCCGGTATACGGGGAACTGCTGGAATGGGCAGTGTGGTGGAAGGCGTCCGTGCACTGCATTTAGGAGAGGGCCACGGCCAAAACGTAGAGTCCTTTTTCTTGCGTCAACTGGGTCATTTTAAAGGAGAATACAATGGCGAGGCCATTACAGAATGGACCGATAAAGTAGAGTTGCTGAAGGAGATCGTGGAAGCCTCAGATGCGGAGATTTTGCGTGTTCTTCCGCTCCGCATGTCATCTCGTGCGGTTCAGTTCATGAGAGGATTTCTAGCCTCAAAACCAGTCTCAGAGCGAACCTGGCGAAATGTTAAGAATGCCCTTCTGACCCAATTTGGAGGGAAAATCGAGCCCACTCAGCTGGTTAACCAGCTACAGCAGGCGAAAATGGGACGGGACACTCCCGTTCGTGAGTTCGCCCTCCAGGTAGGTCGACTCGCTCGACTGGCGTATCCAGAATTATCAAGCGATCATGGTACCCCCGAGCAGAAGAAGCTCCAACATACCATGTTTAACCGAATTGCTTTGGAACAGTTTACTGCCGGCCTTCCGCCGCTTTTGAGTCGTCCCATTCTAGAAAACCGTGTTACGGATTTCCACGATGCCGTTGAATTGGCGGCTCATCATGAAGAAATAAATGCCCGATACATGAAAAAGTCAACCATTCATGCGATGCATGAATTTGAAACCAAGTCTCACCCGAACCCAGCTCCCAACAACAGCAGCTCTGGGAGAAATAGTTCGGGCCCTGAAAATTCGCGCGGTCGCAATAGGACCTCAGCCCAGCGCGGTAAACCCTATCGCAACAATAAGCCAGTGATCTGCCATCGGTGTCATAAGCCAGGGCACTATCAGAGGGATTGTCGGGCCTGGATAGGTTGCGAGGTTTGCGGAGAGACTGATCACATTATGGCTGATTGCCGTAACATCGTGTGCGCCCTGTGCAAAGGAAACGGTCACCCTGCCAACAAGTGTCCTTCAAAAAACTCCCAGGGCCCAGCGCCGAACCGGCCAAACACCAGCTAATGCAGCTCAAGGTCGGGCGGCGCGAGCTGTATGCTCTGGTGGACAGTGGTGCTCCGGTTTCACTGCTCAGCGCGGAAACTTATCGCGAGCTGCAGCCAAATGGTGACGAACCTCTTTTACCGCCAAAGGTGAATCTAAAATCAGTGACAGGTCAACAACTAGAAATTTTAGGCACAGGAGAGCTACTTTTTGAGATTTCAGAGAACTGGACCGTGAAGCATCAGTTTCAGATAGCAAAAAATCTACAGCCTTACGAAGCGATTTTAGGATTAGACTTCCTAGCCGACCCAAGCCGACAGATTCATCACGAGCTGTCCAACTTTGTCCTTACGTACAACAAAACTCCCATTCGACTTTTCAACTCAGAACACAGCCGACCATGCGCAACGGTGATACCGATCAGGGCCAAAGGACGTCACCAGTATGTCGGGCCGCGTTCGGTAACATTCATCAGAGTTCAGGCCGAGAAACCCACGCAGGACTCCGCTCTGAAAACTACCGAGAACTTTGAGTTCCAACCACATATCGTTTCAGACGGAGAACCTCAGCCCATACCATGTTTATTCGATCATCAGCAGTACCACTCAAATGACCTCTTCGTAGGCTTTCTCAATGTGTCCGACCAAGGAGCGGTCATCAGAAATGACGAACCTGTTGGATTTTTGACCTCAGTCAGCGCCCAGCCATTCCATGACCTTGTGGCTACCGTCATCCGAGAACGGGAGCAGGAAGCTCCCGGCAACACCTATGAGAGAGAGACAAAAGGTTCAGGTCATGAAACCCACACAGCTAGCAGAGAGCCATTCTTGAAAGCGTTCGAGTACGGTGAGCTGACTTCGGATCAGCTCGGCGCGGTGCAAAATGTGCTACTTGAGTATCGCGATTGCTTCGTCATGGATGGAGATGAATTGGGTTTGTGCAATCGCGTGATTCACCGAATCGAGACCACAGTCGACGAACCAGTGGTAACCCAGCCGTATCGGGTCCCAAAAGCCTTAGAATCAGGAGTCAGAGCGCTCATTCAGAAGATGCTTGATCAAAACTTGATTAGGAAAAGCAATTCAGAGTATAGTTCTCCAGTAGTGCTAGTCGAAAAACCGGACAAGAGTTTACGTTTATGCGTAAATTATCAAAAGTTGAACGCGATATGCAAGAAACGCATGTTTCCCCTACCAAACCCTGACGAGCTTTTGGCAAAAATTGGCGAAAACAAACCAAAATGGTTTAGTTCCACTGATCTAGCGGCCGCTTTCCACCAGGTCCCGATTCATGAAGTGGACAAACACAAAACAGCGTTTTCTCTGCCGCAACTTCCCTCAACCGCTCACAACGAGAATGGAATCAGTTTCTGGGTGCTACACAGCATGCCATCAATGCTTCCTACCAAACAACAAACAAATGGAGCCCAGCGTTCCTCATGTTCGGCAGACAATTCCAACTTCCTATTGAAAAGGCCATGTCATCTGAACTGTCTCCTAACTCAGGCGAGTTAGAAGATTTGGTCACGATTCTGAGGGAGCGTCAAGCTGATGCAATTACGCAAGTAATTAGCAATCAGAAAGACGCCCGGAAAAAGCAACGAGAGTGGTACAACCGTCGCGCTCGGGAAAAGGGTTTCGAAATTGGGGATCTGGTTTATGTTTACACACCTTCAGTTAAAACCGGAAACGCGAGAAAGTTGACCGCAAAATGGCTCCCAGGATTCGTGGTTGAAGGAAAGCATCAAAACGGTCTCACGTACGAGGTTCGTAAGCCAGGCTCACACAAACCAGCAGACGCAGTGCACGTAGACCGCTTGAAGCCCTGTCCGCAGTCTCACGTATATCGGGCTGCTGGGAAGGCCGGAAGGGTTCTCGGAACGAGCCGAGCCATTCAGGCTTCAGAGTCACTCCGTAGGGAGTTAGAATTTCAGCAGAGAGAGGAAGGGGGAAATGACGGGGAAACCTCAGAGGAGGACAGTTTCTTCCCAGGGCCATACCGGACCACGCGTCGGTCAGGATCCGGGACCGCTGCTGGAGACGCCAGCAGCGGAATAACGACGGCGCTGGAGGCGGTAGAGGAGCCGCAGATCCGGGAGGGCTTTACGTCTTCCTCGGATACCGAGTCCCAGGTGGAAACTGACTCAACCGGTTCCTCAGGAGAGGAGGCGTCGGCACGGCCGGCCCAGGCCAAAGCTGTGTGGCCCAGGAGGCCCCAGCGGGACAGGAGACACCCTGACCGCTATAGTCCCTGAGGAAACTGAGTTGGGAGCGTTACAGTAAAGAATATCTCATTTCAGATCAATCAGTTTTGCACCCCGGAATGAGGAAATGGTTTCAAGTGTATGTAGATATGTATAACTAAGGTTGAATAGATATTTCCTAGTGAAAGGGAAATCAGAGCATCTGCATGATTGATTCAGTGCCTTTAGCACGACTATCGTTATGAGAAACACGTATGTATGCATGTAACAGGCTGTAGTGCTCGCAAGTCTTTAACATGTTCTTAATGGTTTAATATTGCTTACTGCCAATAAGCAAAGGTTGCAACATTGACCAATCAAGTGGTCTGATGTAAGAGTGCAATGCATTAAAATGCTTAATCCTAAGTAACAGCACATGCTTAACTGAGTTGAAGTAGTTGCCTAGAGTATTATGACGTTGAGATTTAATCTGATTAAGTTTGTGGCCTGATTGCTCCTAGCCTTGTCCAAGGTTCAGCAATTTATTTCCCGTTATACCTATGCCTTTCGGCGCAGTCAAGGTCAGTTTCGGTCAGTCTAATTTGAGTGCCATGAATAAGCGTAAGCGCTGCCAGAAGGCCAATAATGTATCTGAACGCTGAGCCAACGAGACTAACAGAACACTAGGTAACGATAATAAGAATACGGTCCTTTAATATAAATCAAGGTCGAAAAAACTAGACCAATGGATTCTGGGACAATGTCCATCCCTGGCTGTTAAAAGTGACGAAATCGATCAAATTGTCTGAGCAAACTCGCCTCCCGATATTCTGACTCACAGCTGTCTGGTGTCTGGAGCTTCGTCTCCGAACGCAGTACGTGCAGCGTCAGATAGCCAAGCGCCAAGTGGCTGCAGAGACAGCTTAGGCCGCACACAGTGCACACCTGTTGCTCACTTCTTGGGGCCCGACAGCAGTGAAACCCATCGGCGTCCACAGCGGTGGTTTCCGTCATCCACATGGGTCGACTCCATTGCAAATAGGAGGAGTTCACGTCAGAGTGAGCTATCACTGTCTGGACGGTCACCTTGAGCGGGTAAAAAGGGTCGCAATTATGGCAAACTGTCCAGGCACAATGGTACTGGCACCTGCACACCGGCAGTCTTGTGTGGTCTTACAAATGGGACGGTGGTTCACGCTCTGGACAGTAATGCTCGGCTGTCACAAAAATGGCATTAGTGATGGGACGTCTCAAAGTCACCCCAAAATTACAGAAAGATAAATTCAATGTTTAAGAACTAAAATCCAGTGAAATGTTTGTCAACATAGTGAGGCTGGAAGCCGATGTTTGTGTTCAGTTTGTCCGAGTTCGGGGAAGGATACTAATACGGCAGAGCTGATAGCGCTATTCGCACATTCCCAGGCACAGTGACTAGCAAATTTAAGTCATCAACCAATGACAACAGAGGCTCGACTGTTTGACGCCATTCCGCTCCTTACACGGTCAAGCTACATCCTAGTCCATATTGCTCCTAAGTGGTCATTTAATTTAACAGTGACAAGTGTATAGCACATTAATTGCAGCACCAAAGCAACAAAACGGCAGTAAGGAATATTAAACCAAGATAAATCTAGAACAAGCAGAAAACCGGGGCAGATCTATGTAGGACATTGAGTTCTCCCAATTCAGTTGACATAACTCCTTGTCAAAGACTTGACTTTTGTTTCATTCCCACAGGCATCTACCCGGGGAGGTGGGAATCATTCTCTCACATATATTCATCGGAGGGATGTGAGAAAGTTCGTCCCTCCGATACAGCCATACCGTGGTCACAGCCGGACCCGGCGGACCGCGGCGCCCGGCACATCAACCAATCTGCCGACGGCCGGGGGCGGAATGCAGCGTCGGCCGCGCAAAAACCAACCGCAGGGGAATGCGGCGTCGGTCGCGCAAAAAACCACCGCGGGGAGGATGCGGCGTGGTGAGAACCGCAAGTCGGCACAGGAGCGTGACCAGCAGCAGGTCACCAGACCCGAGCTCCTCCTCCGGCGCAGCGGACCACGCCGGACCTCCTGAGACCGCCCCTGCGACAAAAAGATACCTGGCCAGCCGACTCCCATCGTTCGGCGCCGCGTCTGCCGCCGGAGGGTAACAAAAACCCCCTCCAGACATCGATAAGGGCAGGCCGGCGGCCGGTGAGGTCATTGCCACGGCGAGTCGGTGACCTCTTCTACTGCTGTGCCCTGAGGTTCTGTGGCTGTTCTGTTCTGCTCTGTCCTGTTCTGCCCTGCTATGTTCTGCGCGCTCTGTCCTGCGGGACTAGCCTTGCGTGCCGCGCCCGAGGCAAATGCCATCCGCCGGAGGCGCGGTATATAAGCTGAGTTCCGCAGTGATCCGGGGACTTCTCTTCTTCGCCCTTCGCCCTTCGCTTCTCCACTGGAGAGCTACGTTGGAGCCTGCCCAGCGCGCGACGTTTGTTGAACCAACATGTAAGTTTCAAGGGTGCGGCCCTTGAGCCCTTATGGGGCCTTGTAAATAGTTATGGCTACTGGCCTGTGTTTGTATGTTACCGTCTGTAAATAATTACTTTGAAAAACTTGCACAGTCTGTTGTGGGACAAATGGTGGGAGAGAGAAAGGCGAACTGCAGAACGGTACCGAACTTGACAAACGTACATTAGAGAGACTCGGATAATTAAACAACACTACCTTTAAACTTTAAACGGCACAGTTAATTCGATACGTCACGCTACCAGAACAAATCCCAGCTGAAGTAACGATAAAGCAAATAACTTAACAACTCATAGTAAAAAATAGTTTCACAGCTCCCACGTTGGCCCCACGGGCCGCGCTGGCATCGGAGGTCCCCACGCGGCCCTCGATGGACTCGAGGGCCCTCAACCATCATGAAGACCTATAAGAGCCCCACAGTGGTCTCCGAACGCCGCCACGGAGGCTTGTTTGGCCGCGCTGGATTATGATGGCCCTAACGATGACCTCTGAAGCCCCTTACGACTACTTTTGAGGGCCCTTATGATGACGTTTAGTGTCTACTGCAGGCTCGAAGGGACTGCTGATTCGTTCAGGCGATTGACGTGCCCATTTATGTCACTTATAGTGCAGGGGGCATCTTTCCCAACGTCAGGGGGCGTCTTTCCCACCCTGTTGGGTAAGATGCCCCCTTTCACTTCTTCAGGAAAATGCTTAATAGCAAAAAAAGTTATAATATTTCAGGCACGAAAGTGTGATATTTTTGGAGAAAAATGATGTCGGCTTCCGTTGAAACTCCAAGTTTTTGCTTTCCCATCGTCATTTTCGAATAATATATGACATAGCAAAACCCTGGGCATCTTTCCCCACTCTCCCCTAGGTAGTGAATAAAGAAAGTGCTGTGACAAGGGAGTCATTTGCCAGCAAAATTGTGCAAAATCACGGAAATGACGCGCAAGAATACCAAAATCACCTTGCACAGCCGATTGCCGCCATGTCACCAATTAAAAGTGACACAGTACCTACCTACCTAATCTGATCATCAAGGATGTTTGTTTTACAAAATAATAGGGTGGGCGTGTTACCCGATGGGCGGCGGTCCCCCGTCATCCCCTACAGGTCAGGTTCACGAGATTTTCAGGGGATGCGTAAAATTGATTAAATCACCGAAAAGTTAAGTCGCGATCAGCCGCTCTTACGCGAGTTATTCGCGAAAATCGAGGAGATGGAAGACGGATCCATCAGATCCAAAGTAGGTCCGATTCCCCTTAGGAGTGTGAGGGTCAAAATGCACGGTAGTGCACAAGGGATCGAAATGCGACTTGCGAGGAGTAGGTACTTGGAATTTGGAGAAACTGTTTTGATCCCACCTCCCGCAGCGTCCGAGACCGACTTTCTGGATTCACCTGTATGCTTGCGAGCCTTTTTCCATGGATCCTGATCTAGCGTCCCCATCTTTCATTTTAAAACCTTCCATTGCCACTTGAGTCAACACCCGTGTGGATGTTATTTATTCAATTCTCGATTTATGGACCTCTTCGCAAGTCCAGCTACAAAATGAATGAATGTATTTTCCTCGTCCCCACTCGGGGTAGGTATGGGAACTTGGCTGGAACATATTTACATTAGTGCTTGAGAAAAGATGCCGAAAAAGTCCCTAGATTGTGGAAGTTTCTCACCAACCGCCCATCATGTTATTTCCCACGGAGATTAAAAACCTGCTCCCGGTACAACGGCTGCACACGGCACAATTTGTTTCGTGCGTTTTGTATGTCGCAGAGCTTCGACCGGGTGGCACGCGCTGTTGAAGGGGTGCTGTTGGCACGTGTGCAAGGTGGGTCATTTTGTAACCATTATTTTAGTGTCGTGTGCTAAACACATGGCCAGTTCCTCATGTGACTTCTTGCTGTGTGGGTGCATGTGAAGAATTACCGGTTGGCATTATGGTCGATGGCATGACTCTTCTTTGGAGGTATTCGATTGCCATCACTTGATAAATTGTAAGCTTGTTTGCTTTGAGTCAATACTTTTGATATATGCAATTAATTAGAAGTCGAAGCTATGATTAATCATAATCAGATAACAATAATGATGAGATATTGTTCACACATGCTCTAGCAATCACAGCAGTTGCCAGTTGGAGTTGTTAATTTTTAAATGATTTTTGCTTTTCCGGGTTCAGGTTGGGAGCTGTGTCAACAACACCTACAAATATAATCCTACAGGATTAGCTAGGAGTCAACCACAGCATCAGGCCTTTGCCTTTTCACAAATAATTATCCTGGTTTTTGTTAATAATTTGTAGAAAGCCTGTAGCAGTACCTATTGGTACCTAATGGCGTAATTTTTGGTACCTAACAAGTTCAATGATTTTTGTGTCAGTATTTTGCCAGTATTGGCATTATATTCCATGTGTGCAAAAATTAACACCTTCAATTTTTACAGAACACAAGTCATTTTGCCATGGCTCTGGGCCCATTGGCAGTGGCAGCAGTGGCTGCAGTGCTGCTGGCTCTGGCAGGTGGTCAGTCGGCACCAGCCCTGGCACCAGTCCCAGTAAAGGTCAGCGGCACCTACATCAGCCGCCTGCTGGCTGACTATGGAGCCGATGGTGGCGGCGGCGGGCTGACAGCAGCCGGTCTGCAGCGCCTACTGAAGCAGCTGGGCATCATTCGGCACTGGCATGGACTGGCCGGCGACCACGACCACCACGACCATCATGACCACCACGACCACCATGATCACGACCATCACGACTCAGAGCACACCGATCATGAGCACAGCCAGCGTGCCCCGGCCGACCACGAGAGCGGCCTGGAGCACCGCGACGGCGGCCAGCCTGGCGGTACCAGTCTGCTGCGGGAGCCCGACCACCAGCACAGTCTGAGCCACGACCACACAGACCATGACCACAGTGCGGACCACGGAGACCACAACCACGCAGACCATGGTCACGGCGAAGGCCACAAGAACGGCACAGACCACGATCACGCAAACCATGATCACGCGGGCCACGACCATGCAGACCACGCGGGCCACGACCATGCAGATCACGCGGGCCACGACCACGCAGACCATGACCACAGCGCGGACCACGCAGACCATGACCATGCAGGCCATGACCACGCAGACCATGACCACGCAGACCATGACCACGCAGGCCACGACCACGCAGACCACGACCACGCAGACCACGACCATGTAGGCCACGACCACGCAGGCCACGACAATGCAGGCCACGACCACACAGACCATGACCACAGCGCGGACCACGCAGACCATGACCACGCAGGCCACGACCGCGCGGACCACGACCACGCTGACCATGACCACTACCACGACGCCCACTACCATGGTGACCACGACGCCCACCACCATGGTCCTACCGTGAAAACTCCGGCCGAGGCGCCACCCTCCCGTGCCAGCAGGGAACTCAGTCGACGAGGTACGTTAACGACCTGGATTGCCATATTTTGCCAGCGATATGTCTGTCTGGTCTCTAATTTGCTTGTATTTTGTCATCCTTTGAAATGTAACTAGAAATTATGGCGTTTTTTATTTTTAGTAACGGATGACTTTGCATTTTTACGGAATGACTTGTCGAAGTGCGTGTACGTCCGGTCTCCAGACACGGTGTTTGCGTTTTGTTTGCAGACACTTCAGCGGTGGACCCGGCCGGTGCTGCCGCCGTGGCGGACGGGAAAGGCGCCGCTCCGGCCTCGGTGAGTACCGTTAGGGAGGGAGGCACCGGGTCGCGTCACTGGCTGGATAGAGGACAGAGTCCCGGATGGGACGGAGGGGAGCGACGTCTCTACTCGGCCCCCACCGGGCACAATTTTCTTCAAACTGGGCTGATTTATTGTGTTCAGTCCGGACGCTGGAAGGCAAATGAAATGATACTGATCCTGGGTTCAAACGCTATTTCTGTAACATCCATGGTTTTCACTTATTTTGATGTACAAATTGTCATTTCGAAGGCGAGTTTTTGAAGAAAATGTAGGCATGCTCATAAAGGTAAAATTTACGAGGGAAAAGGCCTACCGGTAGGTACCTCTTTTTGTACCGCTATATCCCTTAGTCTGGCAGAAATCAACACCAAACTCGCACATCACCCTTCCATTTGCCGGACCGATTCATATTTCAAGTATGACAGACCGGCTTTAAATGGCGGAGAGGTGATGGCAGCTTTTAGCTCCTATCGGGAGAGGAGTGACACAGAATCGCGACGTCGTCCATCCGGCTTTTCCGAATTAAAAAAGAAAGCTAGAAGGATCGTACCATTCTTTCATCGTGCTGTCCCGGATTTTCAATACTCGGGTATTCTAGCACTTGTAAGAACAAGTCCGTCTTTTTCTATGGTACCAATTGGTCCCTCTTTCGTGCTCCGAACCCTTGTAATGCGGAGTTCAGACTTCAGACCCTACTCAGGCTGTCGCCATTACCACCCTATCAGAAATACTGGAACGTCTGCATAATTAACAGTCGAACATTAACGATGTCAATGTAACCAAAAACTGACACAAAATAATCCCTGCTCACCGACTTTATCTGAGTTGTAATATACCTATCAGGTATGTATATCACGAGCATAGCTGATAATTGCACAAAACTCATATTTTTTCCCCATAACCTCCCCTTCCTTTGAACGGACATGGTGTGTCTGACCTAAGGAGTCAACCGAAAACCCAAATGCTATTTTTAGGAACGTGATTATCATTACCGTAGGTATTAAGGGTATGCTGGTTATCCATTAAATGACTGAGCATATTATGGCTTTTGCTGGCCATTGTTGGAGGACCGAGTAAGCCTTCGATGGTTTTCCGCTGTCGAGTCTGTGCCTTTTATCCTGTCCCGTGTTTTGTTTCGTTTAGTGGCGTTTTTTAGTCAAAATATTTGCGTGAAATTATTAAGGTCTTGCCAGTTTTTGTACAAATGATGTTTTTCTTCCATTGCACAAATGGTGTTCCGCCGTGGCACAAGCACATCAAGAACAATGCATGGGACAGCTCCCATGCATATCAACTTGTGGCGGATGGCGATGCATCATCACTCGCTCGCTTGCCGGGTAAGGTTTTCGATCATCCGCTCTGATTATTTTCATTGTATCTCGGAGCCCGCGCTCTCACCACAGGGTATCCAATCAGCCGAGCAGCGTGACGGGCGATGGCGCTATGATAATCTCACTGAGGCTCTAATGGATGACGATCTCACTGAGGCTGCCTTACGGTTAGAAGTTCCCTTTTCTTACGTGAGGACGTGTAAAAGACTGATGAAATTCCGTTACTCAGGTATGCTGCGGTCCTCTGTTCACAAAGAACTTTTTTGGACGGTTAATTTATACCAGACATTTGACAAGCGTCTTCCATTTTCAGGCGTCAACGCAGCGTTTTAGTTTTCGGTATTCCAGCTTAGTTTATGATATTATCCCTTGGACTGGAGTTTCTCAGTACTCTGAACTGAACCCTGAAACGACATCCAGCTGTCTCCTAGCAAGTTTACGACTCCGTTTCCCTCCTGCGAAGGACGGATGGTTTCTGGGAAAGTGGCGCCGCCCCTGGGGCGGCGGATGGACGGGCGTGCAGTCACGCCACGCCGTCCCTACCCGGTACCCCGGGCGGCAGCCGATGACGGGGCGGCGGGCTGGCGGGGCGCGGCGCGGCCGTGCACGGGCCGGCGCCGGCCGTGTTTATAGAGCGACCCGATCGGCCGGTGTGGGGTGGCCTGTTCCCACCGGCGGCACCCTCGCTGCCGTCCGCCGGGCCCCCTGGCTACAGTCCCCTCCTGACCACGACCGGCTCCCCGGCCTGCGGTAATCTATGGTACCCCAGCTGGTCGTAGGTCGTCGCTCGGCGCCGGCTAGGTTTTATGGTAGGTCCAAAATGGCTGTCTGGATGTAGGGGTGGGCCCGCCTGCCGTCTGGATCTAGGGGCCAGTCCGACTGTCGTCTGGATCTCAGGGTTATTCCGCCTGGTGTCTGGATTTTATGGCGGATCTGGTTGCCGGATGTAGCGCTTTGTTGGGTAACCATCTGGGGCTGTCTCCGCCCACGGTCTGGGTGCAGGGGGTGTAACGCCCCCACCGGATGTGGGGACGTGCCATCCACCGTTTGGATGCGGGGACGTCTCCGCCGGCCGTCTGGATGTGGGGGCGCGTCTGACGTGGATGGCCTGCCGCCAAGTGGAGCAGCTGCGCTCCACCGACCGCCGCAGCGGCTCACGCTGGCACGGCGCTACCGCCGGCACAGACACACCGGCGCTCAACACGGCTGCTGCACGGCGGGCAGTATTGATCGGAGGGGTGATGGCATCAATTACAAATTAAACGACACCAAATGAAATTTCACCGATCTGTGTAGCCGAGTTTCGTGCGGACTGGATGCGGGGAGCTGGTTTCTTTCCATGCCGACGATGAGAGGAGCCATTTGCAGTCAGGGCGGCTCCAGATGAGGTCATATGGCGCAAACTGAGTGGCCCACAGGGCAAAGGGTACCGCCAGTCACGCTGACCATACCACCAGGCAATACGACACTGGCGATTCGCTTGATGCAGCTCGTATGACTTGCATGGCTTGGCATGGTACTGTTTTGTTTATTTGAAAACATACTGTCAGCTGTTCATGAACAGGGACAACGCAGCGACAACTCTTTAACTTCTCCAAAAAGCTTTGCATTTTTAGTGAAGACGTATACTTCTGATCTAAAGGTGAAATAACTTCTGCGGTGGGTGGGTGATGGTGTGTGTGTTTGGGGGGGGGGCTAGACAGCGAAGGTTTTGATTTTATTTCCAACGTTTTTTTATGATGTTCATCACGACAGATGCAACCAAGTCGCGTCGCTGTACGGCTGAGGCGAGGTGCCTCTCCCGTCCCACGCTCCTCTCGCGTGGGGCCGCTGCGCACCCGTCCATCCCCGGTCCCCGGGTAGGGACCGCCATCATCTTCCCAGAAGTCATTCATCCTTCGCCGAAACGGGGATGTCGCCTGGCTGCAGACTCGCTCGGGATGGCGTCCCCTCCGCCATCGCCCCGGCTAACGGCCCGCCAGCAGCGTCATCCGTTCCCCCTCTGACCTCGGGCCCAGAACATCCAGAAAGGCACATGTGAACGAAGTCGTTAGCAGTTCTGAGACCTTACTTCTCCACACAAACTTCGCCACCATATATGAATGGAGAATTCTTAGAAACATTGGGCAACACTGGGAGAGCATCAAACCATCTCCTTGAGTTTTTATCAGCGTGGTCTGTGACTTTATCTCAAGTGAGATGTCCGTGATTCAGCAGGATGACAAGCGATGTTTGTGCCGTGTGGACGCTAGTAAGTCAGTCTAACGTCATCCTCACTTGTGACCTATGTGACAAGTCAATCTTCTCGAAATTTCCGCCCCACACCAAAGTGGCTTGTAAAAAAAAAAAAAAAAACTGAATGTGACCACCTGAAGTGCGTGAGAACTGAGAACACATGACGTTTCCGGTGGAAGGGTGGTCCTACCGATATTATAATGAATAGTTCATTTATATTTCGCACGGAAGCAAGCACTTATATTTTGGAGATTATAAACACTGCACAGTCAATTAGGTACTTCCCTGCTGTCACCGACGAAAGTGTTCGGACCAACCCGCGCTACCGCTGTGCCGCCGTGATAGCCGACCGGCCGCCGTGCCACCGCGGCGCCGCCGCCGCTCGTTGCAGCCGTCCCGCCGCCGCACCGCCGTCACCCTGTCCAGACTCAGGATGAGTTGTGAGCAGGGATGCGGAGCCGGAGCCGGAGCCGGAGCCGGAGCCGCCGGAGCCGGCATATTTTGCCCGGAGCCGGAGCCGGAGCCGGAGCCGTGAAACAATATAGCCCGGAGCCGGAGCCGGAGCCGGAGCCGTCAAAAAAGGGGGCGACTCCGGCTCCTTTTCTTAAGAGGAAACAATGATTTACCTGGTTCGGTTTGACAGTACAAGGCGTAAAACTATTCAAAATAGCCTTGTTATACAAATACAGAAGCAATGTGTACCAATCCCATCGCCTTTTTTCTTTCACCAGTATTTAATTGATCGCATAGGGGATGTACTGAGTAGAAGCCGGAGCCGGAGCCGCCGGAGCCGGAGCCGCCGGAGCCGGATCATTTTACTCGGAGCCGGAGCCGGAGCCGGAGCCGCCATGACATTTCACCCGGAGCCGGAGCCGGAGCCGGAGCCGATTTTTTTCTCCGGAGCCGGAGCCGGAGCCGGAGCCGTCTGAAATTTCCACGGCTCCGCATCCCTGGTTGTGAGGCATTGTGCAGGGCGGGGCCGCGAGCAGACGCGGCCGGCGGTCGGTACGCGTGCCGCCGACGCTGCCGAGCCGCAGCAGCGCCGCGGCCGCCACCGAGACCGAGATATAAATTAAAGACACGTCGTTTTAAGGCACGTAGGCCGCCAAGCTGGCGCCTTCAGCCACCTCCCCGCTGCAGTGCAAGTTCGCACTCGTTTTGCACACGTCTTAAGCATTGCGTATAAAATGTGGGTCACGTACGACCCCGGCAGAGTCTCACTTCGACCGTCGCGCTGTGCGCACGGACTGATCTGCCCCGCTCGACGCCTCGCCCGGCTGAGCGGGGACAGAGTACAGAAGCACGCGCGCAGACCGACTCTCCTGCGCGCAGCCGCGCCCGGCGGGGCAGTGTCAGTGCTTCAGATTTGTACAGTGAATGTGAATGGTGCTCCGTGTCTGCGTGTTTCATCTACCGGTTTTCTTCACA